GCCTACAGCTCCTTTAATACTCATGACTCTGCAAACAGCCATCAGCCCATAAAGCTTATATCCTGGGAATAACACTTGTTTTCCCAGCCAAAATATATGCCTGTCCAGAGTCCAGAGAGTAATGCAGTTTAAAAGCATTACAGAGGGATCTTTTGTTGTCACTGTAGAAGCCGGTTCTCTGTTCTGGTTCTCCCCACTCCCAGTCTGCCGCCTGCTCCTAATGGAATGACAATGACAGAAAATGACGGAGGGGCATCTGAGCGCATGGCGGAGTGTCTCAGGAGCCCACAAGCACGCCTCCTTCCATGTCTGTTTGTTTGTTTGCCTTCACCAGTGAAACACAGAGCGGGGATCGGTGACACGACCCGGTTAGGATGGGTGCCGAGGTCGGGGGCTGGGGATGGGGGGGATCGGCGAGCGGGACTCCCACAAACACGGAATCCATCTGTCGGAGCTGGGAGCTGGGAGCTGGGCCCGGAGCTGCGCGGCTGTGGCGCAGACGGTCACAATTCCTCAAGGCTTCGCAGCTTTGCCGAGGGCGCGGTGTAGATGGCCATTACACCCATTACTGACAGGGAGTGTAATGAAAACGCCAAGCGGTGAAGACAGTGGAGGAGCTAGCAGCCTTGTGAAAGGAAGACGTGTTAAAGACACTATCTAATATGACATGGGGGCAAAAAACCCACTTAATACCAGACCTCCTATATATTGTATATACATGTGTATATTGAGCTCAAAACACCCACTGTAACATGTTGAAATCTCCTAAATTAAAGGGACCTTTTAGAGACTGGTAAATATCAACATTTTTTAGGGAAAAAATGGACCGACTTCTATAAAGGGAGGTTAACTATCGCTTACAACCAACCTGTAGGGTGTTTTTCCTGAGGGTGCCGGAAAATTCTCAGAGAGTGAGCCGCGTCTCCAAAGCGTGGTTCTGGCAGACACCACTCCCAGCGATCAGGCGCTGCTGGCATTTTTAGGTCACCAGCACGCTCCCGTCCTGCAGCGACGAGCTTCTCTGCCTGGCAGTTTTCCGTCCAGGAGCCTCCGCGTGACTCGTCGCGGAGACGTTTGCCGTGTGCCCGTACCCGAGCACTACATGACAGTCGCTATATAAGGGGTTGTGCGCAATACAGGACGTCACAAGCTTAAAAAAGGGCCAATGTGTTGTCTGAACTGAAAGTCGGTGCTGAGACAGCTGAGCGGCTTTGGTGGGAGGTCGCACACCCTCATAACAAAAATAAGTTAATAACAAATAATAAAAATGTCTGTAGCAGAGGGCCAGTTCATCTCCAGTCCCCTGAGGATAGCTGCAGTGCCACCAAAGCTGGTCTTTGGCTTCGGTGACCCAGCTTGTGCCGAGTCACTTGGCAGTCTTCCTTGTCACAGGGAAATCAACCAAATTCCAAGCCCATTTCCCTCCCCCTCTACCACAGAGATGCTGCCCCCCTCCCCTCTGCCCTGCCCTGGCCCACTGTGCCGCTCCCATGCACCACCTAGTCTCTTCCCTCATTCTGGCACCAACCTGCTGGAAACAAGTAACAACACAATGGTGAGTACTTGGGACATTGTTCCCATCCTGAATCTAACAATCTGTCATCCACTTAAACCTGATCCAAGACAAGGCAGAGAACACGGCTGCTGGGAAGTGGTTCAGAAAAGCCCAATTGTATTGGTTAGTCATTCGCGCTGTTAGTTCATCCTACGCCTGATCCAAGTGAAACACTGTGCCAACTTGCACTGATGGAGATCCCCTTCGAAACGGCACATGATGGATGTCACAGTGCCAGAGGACATTTTGGAATAAAGGCTTCAGTCTGTCTTAATATGCGACATGACCAAAGGTTTATTTTAAAGACCTGTAGTTCATGTTTTTACATCGAGAGGTAAAGTTCTTCCTTTGTGTCTAATTTACTGGCCAATGGGTAAGGCTCCTCAAGGTCACATGGTGTATTGGGCACTTGGGACTTTCGAAAACAGTGAAATCAGTGGAATGAACTCCAGATTCAGTGCAGTCTGTACAATTTTTGGGCCAACAGCCTAATATCAAGGTAAACAAAGACAAATCCTTCTACCTTTACATTTTGTAACAGACCTACCAAGCAAAAACTTTTTTTAAGTATAAAAAGCTTTCTTTCAAGTCTCTCCACAGGTTTTCGGTTATATCGAGGCCAAAGCTAAGACTGTGTGGCCCCAGGATGGTCTGTGTTATGTTGAAAGGTAAACTTCTTTCTCGGTTTCAGTTCTCTGGCAGACCAAAGCAGCAGGGTTTGTTTTTGAAGAATCCCTCTGAATTGGCACCATCCGGCTTCCTGTTCTATCCTTACAAGTGCTTCAGATGAAGAGAAACACCCCCACATTGGAGGCTGCATCCATCCAGCTAGACGGGAGGGATGATCTTTGAATGCTGTGCTCCTCTCATTTTTCACCAGACATTGACAACAAAACAGTCTATTCCGGCTGCATCAACCCTTTGTCTGCATGGCATCCCAGCCCCCAAAGTGTCGTTTTGCATGCCTGGGCCTCAGTCTGGACTTCTCTGAGTTTTCTTTTCCTGTGTATCCAGATTTCAGTGGAGCTCCTGATATTCTTGGAGCATATGTAAATTTACCTCTCCTTCACTAATGGCCATTGGGTTTTGGTTTATCCCCTGATTCGTCTCCCACTAGTTCTCACGTCCAGTCTAATGGGATGACCTGATTCAGTGAAGGACTTGTGGTAAAATTTACTTTTGACTTCATAGTGATGCTTTGGCAGTATTCCTAGGGACATATAGAAAGCTAAACACCTTTTCATATAGCTCCCAATCTTTGCTTTTCCACAACTTCCTTCTGAAGATCTACAAGTTGCCTTTTGTGTATAACCAGGGATGTACAACCATTTCAAGGAAAACTCTCAGGAGCAGCCGACTTAATCTCAGTCATTACAGCACAACACAGGTAGAAGCTAATTAGTGTCTAGTCTCATACTAATGACTGTTATTGTACTTCCAAGGTTTTCTTGCTTATTACTTGAAATTTATTTTGTGAATGTTCTACAATCATATCAATGGTACTAAAAGTCAGACCACTGCATGCAAGCAAAGCTTACTAAGATAACTCTGCTACTGACTGGGCCAAAAGCCATAAACAAGGAGCTGGGGCCAGAACTTTTCAAAAGCACAAATTCTCTTCCAGTCCCCAGTGGTGACCAGTATAAGGAAACAATTCACCATGAGTCACTGAACGGATGCATCCTTATTCCACAGACCTCATCAAACCCTGCATACAGAACACATCAGGTGTGCTGGTTGGGTCTTGCCCATATTGTATATCTAATCGTTAACAATTAGCTATGACATGGGAGTAGTCGTGCAGTTACTGATACCATCTCATCCTGTTGGTTTCAAAGTAATTTCTGGTCTGTGTAAACTGCAGTACAGATGACTTAATGAGGTGTTGCACTAAATCGATGAGTCCCTGCACAGGTTAAAACATCTCCAGTCAATTCAAGCCTAGATGTATCAGTAGCTACAGGTATGTTTCCTTATGCCCAAAATCGAAGGACACAATGTTGGATTAACCAGATTTTGCATTCTGCCATTCAGCTTGCTTGATAATTACATTTACTCATTCAACAGATGCTTTTATCCAAAACAGCATACAATTGAGGAAGCAGGGTCAAACAGGGCAATCACGTTTAAGTGGTTTGCTGAAATGCCCTATGTTGAAATCACCATCCTGACTGAGGGATTTGAACTGACGACCTTCCCATCCATGAATCCAGCTTCCTAAACCGGAGCCACACTCTACCACCATGCTTCTCATAGACTAATGACCTTCTTCATCTTCATGCTGCCTGTGCTGGGCTCTATCAGGACTCCATTATAGTGGCTAGTAGTGCACATCTGCACGACTCTTGTCTCTGGGGTAGGGATGCCTCACAGCCTATCGTGAGAAATGTATAAATTAAGCAGTCCCTCTTTCGAAGGTTGGACCGCCTCTACCACAAATAGACTAACTGACAGTGATAGCAGTCTACCCACATGCCAAGCCCAAAAATGGTAAATGGGCTGCATTTATATAGCGCTTTTCTACTCCTATGAGCACTCAAAGCGCTTTACAATACATGCCTCACATTCACCATCCATACACACATCCACACGCTGGTGGCAGAGGCTGTCATGCAAGGTGCCAACCTGCTCACTGGGAGCAATTTGGGGTTCAGTGTCTTGCTCAAGGACACTTTGATGGGGTCAGGAGGAACTAGGGCTTGAACCTGCAACCCTCCAGTTGCCGAACGATAGCACTACCTCCTGTGCCACCATCTTCCCCTCCCCCAAAAAAAAGCACGCTGTGTCTGGGGGTAACTGCTATGAGTCCCTCTCAGACATGCTATCCAGGCCAGGTGCTTCTCCTCCACATTAGGGCTGCCCTCTTTGTAGGCCCATTGCTGCTGGCACCTGATGCCTTACAACCTTTTATACGGCGAGAGTCAGTTGACTGATTTAATACATATTGATTACTTCCATTTGTGCCTTGTTTTACTCAATATGTCTAAATCAGCATGGTCTGTTTTGCTTCTCTCCAGTAAACCAGATACCCATTGACGTCAGCTCAAGATCCGTAATCTCTTCTCCCTGCCATCATTGGCCCAGTGTATTGGCCCAATGTTCATTTAGTATTTTTTCCCTGCCCATCAGTGAGCCCAGGTCTTTGTAACCATTTGTGTCATTAGCTCAAGCCCACCCTCACCCTCACTCCTAAGGCCATGTCATTATAGTCCTTTTCACCATCCAATCGGGAGAAATCAGTAGGTTTGCCTAACGGGAAACATCCTAGCCGATCACTAAACAAAACCTCACAACCATCCAATCCAGGTGCTGAGTTTCCTGCAGAAAATGCAGACAATTATTTTGCATTTAGCCATCTTGATTGATCTGAGCGTAAACAATTTATACACAAGCAGTAAGATCGGGCAGTAAGGGATAGGGACACTAGTTGCGAACGGCTGCTCACGTGGGATTTTCTTAAGCTCGTTCATGAACTTGTTCTTCAGCTTTGAGAAGGCCTCATCCTTGGGGCCCAGGCCTGGGGGTGCGGTGGCGTTGACACCAGCCGTGGGGGTGCCGGTGGGGACCTGGGGGGCCGTCATGGCTTCCCTTCGGCTCATGGTGGCACTGGGCAGCCGGTAGGAGGCTGGCGGGTGAGAAGAGGGGAGCAGGAAGAGAAGAGACATGTCAGGAAGTGAGACACGTGACTGTGTCACTGACAGGACCCAACCCCCCATTCCGTTTACACAGTTGTCTATCCGCACACCTGCCAGTTGGAAAAACACAGTTTCTTTTGACCAATCACGCTGCAGTGTCTCATAAGGTAAGCTTACTGCCATGGCTCTGTTTGTCCTGGGCAATCATTCATCACTATCATTATTAACGTGTCTGACAAGCAGGCTTGTCCAAAAGGGCGGACTGTGTCGTCAAACGAATAAACACCATTCTGAGCATGAAAACAGGCACATACAAAGTCATACTGCGGCAAGTAGAAGAGGATGGTTTAGCGCTGGTTAAACGCACGTGAAGCAGGTGAGCAACACAGGTGGCAGCACAGCATTGTTTATGGTGGGGGGAGGGTCCTATTTCCGCAGGCCTGCCGTGAAACCCAAGGGGGAGCCTGCTGGCTTGCTCCGGGGGTGGGTGCTGAGCAGACAATGACTCATTATTGCCAGTTGATGGTAGTAGGTTGTTAGAGTCCTGGTTGGCATAGTAATCCTGGGTAAACAGCCCACAAATCATCAGAGTGATGGCTGGCAGTTCTAAGGGGGGGGGGGGGGGAGTTATTACATTGGGTCCAGATCTCCACCAAATCCAACATGGATCCACCAGTTCCAAGCATGGTGCGTTCACCAGGGACAGGTGCTCCTCAGGTTCCCACCACAAAGAACAGCAAAGACCGAAGAAGAACACCAAATGCACTCTGACGTAAGCATGTGGGGTGACGGTGCATTTTTAGGAGCATCATGGGCTCTACCCTACATGCACAGCTACACCACTACCCACCAAACCCATGCATAAGACGAAGAAGTGCAAAGACTGAACTAAGTAAAATTCAAAAGAACCGAATCACCATAGTTTCACAACAGCTTCTGCCTGTTCTGCATGGACTGCAGTCATTCGGGTATCCTTACTCTAAGTGGCGCCTGAGAGACAGCTAATGAGCTGAATAATCTGTCTGTACAGACACCAGAAGGGGAAGGCAAGTCTCATCGCTGCTCCGCACTTCTACTTATTTTTCACTTTGACTTGAGCCCTGGGTACTGCCCCCCCGTCCCCCGTCTGGCAGGCAGCTGTCTTCGCTCTGCGTCTCTTTGAACACCACCCTCGGCGGCGCCCACTTTTGGAACAAGCGAGCGCTGGCAGCCCCTGGACACACACCAGACAGCTTTGAAATAAAAACATACTGGGCACCCAAGCGCAATGGAGGGTGGTGGCACATGTGCGGGCCGGCACTGGGGCCCCTCAAACTGGCCCCTGTTGGACTTCCTGCAGGGTGACGGAGGCTAGGGCACCGAGCACAGATCATACGTCTCCCTTCCATCGCACCGCGCTCTCCGACATTTTTAAAACATACTGCTGCTGACTGTTGTACTCCGATATTTTAAAAAAGCATCTTTTTGTTTCCTCTTCACTCAGTGCTTTACGGACATCTGCTGTTCGGCTGCTTTTGTAAGGGGAATCTAAACAGAACAGCTACTGATGGGGGATGGCAGGTACCCAGGATGCCAGTGAAACAATTAGCTGACACCTGCACATCCCCCGCAGCACAGGACAGACCTGTGTCACAGTCACAGCTGCGGGCCTCAGCCGGGACATGTAGACCACGCCCCTTCTGTACTGTCACTTAAGCCTTAAAGGGAAACAGCACCAGCAAATACCTAATACGCTGATCATCCTTAAAGGGATGGGCTTAAAGGGAAACAGCACCAGCAAATACCTAATACGCTGATCATCCTTAAAGGGATGGGCTTAAAGGGAAACAGCACCAGAAAATACCTTACACGCCAATCATCCTTAAGGGGATGGGCTTAAAGGGAAACAGCACCAGTAAATACCTAATACACCAATCATCCTTAATAAGATGGCCTTAAAGGGAAAAAGCACCAACAAACTCCTGATGTGCCAATCATACTGTCCCTGGTGCAAAGATGTAACAAGAGTAGATTTCGATTAAGGCAGAGGGTCCTCATTAGTGGCATTTAATATTGGTGTGGCCAGAAGGGTGCCTACTGAATTATTCAGCCCGCTGCTTCTCCTGCAGATTCAACCCAACAGCTGTCCCCCCATTGAAAGTCAAATGGTTCAGACCTTCACAGAATACCAACCCCCCCCCGCTGTGTGAACTTCCATGGCCTGGCTCATCAGCCCGCTCTATTGTTGTCTGACCTTCACACGTGGTTTTTGTGCTGCGTAGTCTTTTTTTTTTTCCTAATGACCCACGGCAGTATCAACTCACTGGCATGCAAACCGCCTCTTGGCCGTGCAGGTAGCACACCTGCCCGACCTTCCTGGGCTCCCTCTAGCAACCAGCGATGACCCTGACAACGCAGCAGGCCCACTGATGGTGAAAAATTTAAAGAGGACGAGGCTTCACTGAGCAGCATCATTCTTGATCAGACCGCGTGGCCGGAGTTTTCCCCAGGAATCCAGGAAAAGTCAAAGCCAGAGAAAAAGATCTCTGTCTGTCTAACTGAGCCTGAAGAACACAATGTGCTTCCTCACCCTGTGCACTGACAGCCGTGAGGTACAGGCCTGTTTGAGTGGTAATTACATGCAGGTGGAGAGAATACCAGAGCTGTACTTTTGCTGTAAATTAGCATTGGAAGGGTGGCTCAAAGTAAACTGCAAAATTCTTCCAAAATCAGCACTGGGAATCTGTCGGAATGGGATGGAAAGTTCCTGGGAAACCACCTGTATGAAAAGTAGACAGAAAAGTAGAAGGTCGAACATCTAGCTTACTTTTAACAGCCAAGGCCCTCATCCAGAAATAGAGACAAGCATCACATTTATTGACAGCTGCATCTGCCCTCAACATCCATCACTGCACATGGCAGCGGAATTATCCATCCTTAGAGCCCATGAGATTCCAGGACGACGAGACTTAGTCATCAAACATCAAACACAACGGATCACCAAGCAAGCTTCTCAGTCAGTGTGGAGGCATCGTCTGTGGAGGCGTTTCTCAAGTGAAGACTGAACAATCAATGGTACAAACGACACATAATAACAAAATGGATAGTTCTGTTGACTTCCCAAATTGATGAGACATCATTTATCAATAATATGTGACCTGCTATCAGCAACAAGTAGAATGACAATATAATGAGAATTATAATTTAATAATGCTTATATCAATAATATTGTGGGAATTACGTCAAAATGTTCTTCGGTTTCTCTGGAAAGGGCAGGGTTACATTAATCTTCTACAGATAGGGTGTCCAGATAATCCATGTCGGGGAGGACAGATTCAGTTACCTCAGCTTTTACAGACTACTTTAAAACTGGATCTTGTGCTTGGCTAAATAGTTCAAGTTCTTCTTGTGTTGACTAGTTTGTTTCCATGATTGAAAGACTCACACAGCAGTTTCACATTAACATTAGTGACCCATGAAGGATTGTATGAGACTGACAAATCAGCACACAGAAAGAACTCAGTGCTTACGTGAAATCCAGGTTCTTTTCATTGAAATGTTAGTTTACAAATCCTAACTCAGTGTCCTCCCTAACATGGATTATCTGGTCACCCTAACTACAGATGAGGCTATGCTACTATATTGCTACATAATCTTAATCAAACTATAAATACTGTCATATATAATAGTTGTGATAAGTTATTGATAACCCATGTGTATCTTTACATTGCGACAATTACATCATGCACGGAGAGTGATTGCTTTTGTGGGCAAAACTGACTTCTCCATTTTTCTCAATTCACTAGCCATTTAAGACTGGAAAATGGTCATTTGTTTGTACAAACAAACAACAGTAAAGGAACATCCCAGGGCTGAGAGAGCAAATTATGGGCAATTGTTTTATGGGGATCCTGCCAGAAATTAGGAGAGAAATAGAAAAATGTAGGCCAACACAGCCATTTTCAAAGATGGTGCACCTCTGATAAATGCTACCATTGCCCTAAACTAATCTTGTACCTGTCCCATGCAAACCCAACTGCACCTTGATGAAGTCTAATAGTGTGTGGCACACACATACCCATCTCAGATTCAGACTGATTGAACAACAGCTCTTTCTAAGCTGCTGTTCACGGTCTGTGGCTGACGACCTCTACGTGCACAGAGCTACGTTAAATGAAACGGATTCATTACACGTCTCCAGATCTCCCATTAAAGGTTTCTAAGGAAGTCCAGCTATCCACCCACAAAAACACATGCTCGTTTCTGAGCAGTTACACAAGCGGCTGCATCCGGCATCTCAAATGTCAGGGGCGTGTGCTAGCTCCCACATGAAGACACGCTAAAGGAGGCAGACCGCGTGGGGCAGCGTGCGGAAACTTCCAGCGCTTTCTGCCATTCTTAAACATATTGCTCAGCAAAGTCACAAAATGACAAATTCTGCAGCTGGTCAAGGTCAAAGTGAAGGTCGCAGCTCTGCTTTCTGTCAGCGGACTTTCCCATTGATTGGAATATTCCGGACTATGATCCAAGAGGCCGCATGTGAGAATGCAGTGCAGCAGGGTTGCATTAGAGAGTCAGCATGCACGGACTGCGACAGGGATAGACGCAGGCTGTTAAAGTTTAACTGCAGAGAGACATGAGGTGTGATGCTTGGATCCTTTTTTCCCGCTTAGATATTCTCTCACCGCGGTCTGCCAGGCAGGTGTAAAAACTTCTCCCAATTACTGAGCTGCCAGATGGCCTGGTGTGACTCCGATCACACCCTCGCCTCCCACCCACCCACCCGCTCTAACTAGGTCAGGGAGTAATCCTCCATCATCCCCCCACCCCTTCTCCCAGCCCCCTTTCCCATTATGCACTTCTCAGGCACGCGCAAACCATCACGTCAATGCAACCACTTAAAACACACCACTAGTAGCATAAACACATAACAGAACAAACAAAACGTCAGCCGTTTCGTTCAGATCAGGGTTGGATTCGTTTGGGCTCAGAATGGCTTTTCACATCCTGC